TCTCTCTCTCTCTCTCTCTCTCTCTCTCTCTCTCTCTCTCTCACACACACACACCCACATTGCTAGTATCTCTATCAAAATCCAAAACCTTTCGTCACCCATCTGAACAGACAGATATCCTAAACCAATGGTAGGACCTTGTTTTGGTAGCAAATATATCAAAAAACACCACCCAGTTCATGTATCCTATGGCAAACCCCGTCAAGTCAACATAGAGTTCCACTGCCTCAGACCATCTATCTCTTAGGCAATCTTTGAGATTGACCAGTTGCCTTTTAAAACTCATTCTAAAATTATTTTTCTCTCAAGAAATCCGTCATTTATTTATCATCTGTATATAAATAAAATTATCCTAATAAAAATAGGAAGGACAAGGACCTGTCAAAGTAATTTCCCTTAGAATATGCCATTCCTAACAGAACTACCAAAATATCAACAGCTGCTTATAGCCACTAAACTGAGGATATTACGCAAGCATAGAATCATAATAAATTAGCTGTGGGATTTGGAGGAAGGAGCCCCAGAGTCCCCTTTTGATCTTTATGGACACCCTATGCGGATAAAATATCATTGCTGATCATCTTTAGCCTTGGAGTATTGTATTAGGCACTATGCGTGTGACACGTAGGGAAAAGGATGGTTGAGTGGACAACTTGCTGGTTCACCGCAATTATAAAAGTAGAAACCATGTCGAGATACTCTAATACTGCTCCCCTTATACCTCATTCACTCTCTTGTTGGCTACAGGGGTGGATTGCAACCATGAAGGAAAATGCTAAGGTGGTCTAATTCGTAGAGTGACATTTGGAATTTTTTATTACTAACAAATAAACATTTGCCATTCGTGAAAGCAAAATAACCAAATCCATTTATAGGGCAGACCTTTGAAAAAAGACACACTGAATGAGGTCATTTAAAAATATACAACATCATGGGTTTAGCATGAGATCTGAAATCATACTTGAAATTGGAGCTTTAGATATCAGCTTCTTGGACTCAGAGCCATCCTCAAAATGTGTCCTGGACCACAAGCAAATGCAAAAGTGGATCCTTCTCATTAAGGATTCATTAAGCTTGAATTCAAAGGATCTCTTACGGGAATCATGGAAATTAGTGGAACAGGGGTTAAAGCAAATATGATATTGGTAGAACATGGATTTGAACAAGGAACTTGGAGGGCAATAGATCATTGACTTCCATTCAGTGGCTCAACAGGAAGCCCCCCTTATTCATTGTGACAAGTGGATATTTTGCAGCAATAGAGGATCTGTTAACAACTTTTTGAATTACTACTTAATTCGAATACGTAGGGAACAACTATAATCGGTTAATAGGTCAGAAAATATAGATGTAACAAGCAATAGCGATTCTCTACCTCCTTATTTTCACCCCCTTCGGACTTCCCGTGCAACAGTTCACTCAAATGAAAAATAAATAAAAAGGTTAAACCTGTAATGGATCAATAAACCCAAACAAATAACAAAGAAAAATCTCTGGAATCAAAATCCTTTAGGGGTCGTTTGGATCCCCGAAAAATTGTCTGAAAAAAATTTCTATTTCCTATGAAATAAATTCCTTGAAAAATGTATTTCCTCTAAAATAGATTATGCTTTTTAGATCACATATGGATACAGCCTGGAAGATACATTTCTACTATTTGGATCATTTGGAAGAGATATTTCTCATCCTAGCATTAGTTTTTTGAGAAAAAGGTTAACTTTATATTTATAAAATAGAGTATTACAACTAAGAACAAAAATTCGGTATCACAAGTTGGGTGCTAAGTGTACAAAAGTATTTTCATCTGAGAAAGAGGGAAAGAGAAGAAGAGAGACAATAGAAACTAAAGTAGAAAGGTAGGAGAGTGACTTCATTACAGAGCCTGATACACAAAATAAGTACAAAAATATACAAAGCTACAAGTGCTGTATGAGGAACTGTCTTCAGAGCAAGCTTCGATTATTCCATCCTTACTGGCCTTGCTGCAAAAGGGAAAGGGGGGGCGATGGCCATTGGTATGAAGAAAAGAAGGGGCAAGGGGGAGATGGGTGTTCGGGTATAGTTAGGGGGGTCTGAAGAAAGAGAGAATTACCAACAGTGGGGATAGGCTTAAGAAAGGAGAGAAGAGATGAAGGGTTAAGGGGGTGAGAGAGTTAGAAGATATGGGAGAGTAGCAGAGAGGAAGAATGAGAGGATAGATGAGATGGATGGTTAAGAGAGTGAGAGAAAGAGAGAGATAATAAAGAGCAGCAAAGAGAGAGGGTGAATAGCGAAAAGCCTGTTTACTACAAAATGAACCTTCAAGGATATAATTTTCTACCTTTTTTCTTGTTTTCTTCCTCCTATTTTTTTCTTTTTTTTTTTTGGCCGGGGGGGGGGGAGGGGGAATACGAGGCAGAGTGGGAAGGGGGTGAGAGAAGGGAGAAATACAACAGATAAGAGAGAAAGGGTGTCAAGGAATAGGGGTGCACCTGTGATCTTCAAATCTTCCGTCATCGCTAACCTTGCTGCAAGAGGGAGATGAGGGGCAAGGGCCAGTGGTGTGAAGGAAAGAAGGGGTAAGAGGGAGATGGGGTAGATTTAGAGGGGTTCGAAGAAAGAAAGGATCGACTACAGTGAGGAGGAGCTTTTGAAAGGAGAGTAGAGACGAAGAGATGAGAGGGTGAGAAACAGTTAGAGATTATGGGAGAGCAGAGAAAAAGAGAGGGGGAGACGCGATGGAGGGTTGAGAGAGAGAAAGAGGGTTCGAGATTGTGGGGAGTAGCAAACAAAGAGGGTGAATATCAACGCAACCTTCATTTTGCTCATTCATGGAGTTGTATTTAGTACCTCTAAGAAAGATGATTATCCACCGTTAGTAATGTGGGTTGGCTTGGATTACTTAGAGGAGACGAGACAAAGGGTTGAGAGAGGGACAGAGGGTTAGAGATAGTGGGGAGCAGCAAAGAAAGATGGTAAATATCACAGAGTCTGATTACTCCAAAATAAATTTTCTAGAATATACTTTCCTAATTTTTTTTCTTTTTTTTTTTCCGATATATTTTTTTGCTCTTTTTCCTTTGTTTTTTTTTCCCTTTTTTTTTGGAAAGAAATAGGACGAAAGAGGGGAGAGGGGTGCGAGTTGGGGGAAATAGAAAATATTAGATAGTAAGGAGTCTCAAGGAATAGGGGGTGAACCTGTGGTGTTATATGCTCCTTCCTTGGCTAATCTATCTGCCTTTGTGCTTGAAAGTGACTTGTGGAATGGTGCTGCATAGGAAGGCAATAGGCTCAAAAATAGGGAAATTCTCAATGGCGGTTGTTATTGGTGGCTTGCCAAAGGATAGTGTTGCTAGAATCTGATTCTACGATCAGACCTTGGTATTGCGACCAAGATTGAGGAATGAGCTTGAGACCTTCCAAGAGGGCCTTTGCTTCATCAAAAGTGGAGTCCGAGGTATCAATAAGGTCTGAAAAAGAGAGGAAAACACCAGGAATTTGCCAGGGTGCCTCCTATTCCAGAATGTCCCGGGATACCAAGAGAAGAGCCATCAGTGTTTAGCCTGAGGAACCCAGTAGTGGGGGAGACCTCACTACGCTAGTTCTAGAGGGTGGAATGGAGAGGTACAGAAGGGACTTCCAACTTGTGAGAAAATGGTTGATTGGGATTGAGGTGAAAATGGGGATGTGCTTGGCCCAGAGAGAGAGAGATCAAGGCTGTGATGGAGTTGATAATGGAGCTTTGACACTTTGATACTCCTCTTAAGGTTCTAGAGTTCCTCTCAAGCCAAATGCGCCAGAGAAGTGCAGCAACTAATAACTGCCAGAGCTTCCTCCCATCTTTAGAAAAACGCGGAGATAGGAGGGCAGAGAATAGACTTTCTAGAGAGGAGGGGGTCACCCAGTGCAAGCAGAATAGTTTAAGGATAGAAGACCAAGGGAGGGAGGATACCTCGCAGTGAATGAAAATATGGGAAATGGTCCCTTCTTGCTGGGGATAATTTTATAACCCATTTTGTATAGGGTCTGATGACTTATACTTTTTTACCAGGAGTTCCGTTTACTTAAGGTACTCTTGGATTTACTTTAACCTCATTGTATTTATCCTTTCGATCAATACAAAAGTTAAACAGTCATCAAAAAATAAATAAAACGATGGGAAATGGTCTCTTCTTGCTGAAGGCATAGGATGCAGCAGTTGGGTAAGGATAGCCCCCTACGTTGCAATTGATCTAAGGTTAGAGTTTTACCTTGAAGAAGCACCCCGACAAAAGCTTGAATTTTATGAGGGATAGCAAGGAACCAAATTTTGTTTACAGATTAGGGAGCAGAGAAGAATAGAAAGAAGAAACAGAGAAAGAGCCGGAAGGGTTTGGGTACCAAATGATAGAGTCTTGATGAAGAAGAGACTAAAAAGAGGGGTGAGGGTTTGAAGGAAGGATTGTAAAGGTTGATATTCCTGGTCTGTGAGATTCCTCCTAAAAATTGATGTCCAAACCAAAGAAGACCCCCTGCCGTCTACGTACTCAACAATCAAAGCTTCCTGGCTAAGAGCCAGGAGAAAGAGAGAGGGGAAGACTTGCCTGAGAGGAGATCACCAAACCATAAGCTGAGCCAAAATCTAATTCTTTGGCTTTACCCGATCTATACCTAACACAGTTGCAAAAAGTAGATTTACAGGAGGTTATGCACTTCCAGGCTGCTAATAACTATGGGAGGGAGATCTAGTCCACCAACCCTCATCTCCAAGTCCATATTTGGCATTGATGACTTGTTTCCACCACCGTTTGCCTAGCAATGCAAGGTTCATTGCTCTAAGCCTTTTAATACCTAACCCCCAAAACTTTGCGGAGTGCAAGATTTATCCCAGGCAATGAGATAAATTTTGTAGGCATCAAAGGACCCAAACCACAGGAAATCTCTCATAAGCTTCTCAAGACGATTGAGAACATAGATAGGAATTAGGAAGAGGGACATATAGAATATCGGAATACTGGCTAGAGTGACTTTGCTAAGGATGATTCGTCCCCCAAAGGAGAGGAAACTACCTTTCCAAGAGGTAAATTTCCAATTGAACTTCTCAATAAGATTATCCCAGAGGTATTTCCTGGGTTTGCCTAAGAAAAGGGGCAAACCAAGGTAGAAGGATGGGAGAGACTCCGTAGCACAGCGCCACAGCCCAAGTGTTGGGCGAGGGTATCTAGTTCAGGACTATCAACCAACACACCTGACATTTTAGTCTTGGACATGTTGATTTACATCCCAGATAAGAGTTCGAAGGTCCTAAGAAAGAGCTAGAGACTGTCTATTTGATTAGGATGGGCTTAGCAGAAAATGAGGGTGTCATCTGCATAGAGGAGATGGGAGATGACAGGGCCTTGGGATGAAGTCTTAGAGCCCGAAAGGTGGCTCCTACCATAGAGTCTAGATAAGGAAGTGCAGAAAATATCACCAATGAGAGTGAAGAGAAAGGTTGAGAGCGGATCTCCTTGCCTAAGCCCTCTAGCCGTAGGGAAGAAACCAACTGGACTGCCATTGAGGAGGATGGACAAAGAAGGGCCAGATATACAGGCTTTTATCCATTTTCTCCAAGTGGAGCCAAATCCCATTCGGGTTTGAACAAGGTCAAGAAGGTCCCAATCAACACGGTCATGGGCCTTCCCCCAATCCAGTATAATGATGAGGCCCTTCTGACCTGATAGGGATCTGGAATGGATAGCCTCATGAGCCGTGACAGCCCCATCAAGAATTTGTCTATTAGCGATGAAGGCATATTGGGTTGGGGAGACTGCATAGCTGAGGACTTCCTGAAGACAGGAAGCTACCTGCAATTATCCTCGTTATATGATAAACTTCATGATCTAAACATTGATTAATTGATTCAAATCTTTGATCAAACTGATTTCAGATCATAAGTGAATGATAACAAACTCAAAACAAGATTATGCCTTCGGAAATCATCAAACATTCGTCTCAATTTTCCAATCGACTTTCAGTACAAAAGCTTTCATTGTTTTCACGCTGCTACAAAAACAGTAGCATATGTGATCTTTGTTCAATCAATGTGTTCATCAGATTTTCTTCCTAATTGTTCAAAAACTTTATGAACAAACACACAAATGACTAAATAATCATCTCAAGTCAGACAATGATCAAACTCAGATGGACAAACAATCTGCAATGAATTTTCGCTGCTGATTTTTTGTGTTAGATGCTGATACAAAATCAGCAACATTACGTTCAATTTCTATCTCACAAATTTCAGAACCAAATAAATGCTCAAAGTTCAGGGACACGCTATAAATTCAAGGACCTTGTCATAAATCGAGCAAAAACGACATTAATAGAGGCTTCAAGTGTTCAGAGAACATGCCACCATCGTGAAAACCCCAAAGCAAGACACTCTCTCTAAAATAAAGCAGAACATTTCCACAATACATCAAACCAAGTATGAAGAAAACTAGGTCATACAATAATCACATTAAATATACCAAAAAAAAAGGGTGCCGTCTTTTAGATTCCAGAAACAAACAAAATGAAAATCAGTAAACAAATTCAGGGAAACAAATATGCTGCATTTTCCCTTCCAGTATAGAAGAAACTCTTACCTTGTTGGCTCTCTGCTACGATTTTACTGTCCTCTTTCGAATCGCTGTCTAGGATGTTGAAATGTAAGTATTGGAAACCCTAAATTTTGTTTTGAGAGAGAGATACATAGCAAGTAGTTTAGGGTGGATGGAGAGAGAGAGGAGCAGAGGAAGAAGAAGGGGGTTTTTGATCGATGAGAGATAGTAGTTTCTGGGTTAGGGCCACATGGGGCAACTGACGGGAGAGAGAGAGAGAGAGAGAATTAGGTCCGATTTATTTTTTATTTGTACTCCGAGGAAGTGCAGCGGGAAAGAATGAAGGCTGAATGCGATTTCTCTACTTTTAGCTTGATATTTACGAAATATTTGTTGGATGCGGTTTCCACACGGCTGCAGTCCTTTTTATTGAGGTTGGGCTGCAACTCTCTGCACCGTTCATCTAAACGGACGGTAAAGATCCTTCACCCTACCCATCAAAAAAACCTAAAGGACCGCGAGCGTCTTAGGGTTATTGGCTAGACACAAATGATCCAAAATTCTTGAATGGAGCTCAAGGATGCGGGGTTATTGCCTACTGTTCTGAGATCATGTTTTGCGATTCTTTCACTGAAAATCACATATTTTGTTTTTGTCTTGTAATATTGGCGAATACAATGTTTTGCTGAGCATTAAGTCATCCTACGGAAAAAAATTTAAAAATAAAATACTAGAAACATGATTAGAAAGAGAGAAAGGAAATGTGTTTTGTGGCTATAGCAGCAGTAAAAAAAATTATGGAGATGGAGAAGTATGCAGAGAGAGAAAATTAATAGTACCAATGAATGAGGTGAAAATTGAAATACATCATTTACTTTTGGAAGGATATCATAAAGGGATCGAATGGGGAAGGAGGCAAAGAGAGAACCAGATAGGAGATCAGAGTGAGAAGGAGAGCAATTCAGTGGGAGGCTATATGGTTTTAAACAGTATTTAAAAAAACGTCGAGTCGAATTCGGGACTCGCCCAGTTCGATTCGGGAATCGCCATGAACGGATCGAATTGGTGAAAAAAACGGGAATCGTCCGGTTCTAGAGAGAACCGAACGATTCTGCACAGTGACTCGCCGATTCACAGTGAATCGGCGAGTCCCGTACGGAAGAACATAATTTTTTTTTATTTTTTTATTTTTTTATTTTTTTTT